AATGTAGTCTTCCTGTGTAACCAGGAAGAGGGAACAGTGTGATGTACACATACCCTGAATTCCCCACACTCCTTCCCCCACCCCCCCAAAAAAAAACACTTGAGAGGTTATCGTAACAGTTCAGATAAGCAGCAGTGGTAGCTTGGGCTGGGAAGGTGGCAGCACTGATGGAGAGGAATTGATGTCTTGGAATGACAATCAGAAGACAGAAGTGAGGTGGGAGAAAAGGAGGTGTTGTGAATGTTTCTTAGGTTTGTGGCTTCTGTAACTGGGATGGTGATACATACTGAGAAAGGAAGACTGACTAGAAGAGGACCAGTTTGTATTTGGTTTTGAACATGCTGAGCATTAGATGCCTTTGACCCATCCAGCTAGAGATGTCAGATAGGAAATTGAGTGTAAAGTCTGAGCTCAGAAAAGCAGAAGTCCAGACAGTGCGTGAGACGTTTGGATTAGATGATTGAAACCACAAGCTTGGATAAGATCTAGGGAGAAAGCAGTGTCCTTCCTCTCCACCTGCACTGCCACCAGCACCTACTTTCTCTGCTGCTGCTCCAGATATGCTGGCATATTATTGCATTACTGTGCCAGACGGCACTACCACCACCACCTTTAGTGGTCCTCAGACCCTTTTACTTGTTCTAAGGTGATTCTTTTTGGAGTTCCCCATAATAGCTGTTTAACATCTTTACCTAATATGTCGTCAAACTCCTGCCCTACTATCCTGGCTTAGGCAGTGTATCTTCTCCCTCTAAAACTGTCACCCTCCCCTCTTCCCAATTTTACAGGAAAAATGTGTATCCTTTTCTAAGACTAACTCTTCCATCTCTGCCCTAGGTCTCATCAATCTCTTTCGAGTTCTGACTCTCATAATTATATGAGTGGTTAAGAGTATGCTCTGGAGCCAAACTGCCTGAGTTCAAATCCCAGTTCTACTATCAGTTCCTGTATCTGTGTGACCCTGGACAAGTTATTTAATCTTTTCTGGGCCTTAATTTCCCTGTCTACAAAATGCAAATAATAATAGTACCTACTTCATGAATTGTGATTTAGACCAAACCAAACCCATCGCCACTGAGTTGATTCCAACTCAGAGCTATTTAGACAGTGTCTGGAAACAGTACTTAATATTAGCTTTTTTTCTGCAGTATCCTTCAAGCTCTGAAACTTTTAATATGATCAGGTCTCCCCATTCCTAAGACAACTTCCATGAAGTTAGCACTCAGTTTTCCCTTTGCCATGAATCATCCTAAAAGAGTCATCTGTCTTCACTTGTCTTCACTGTCTCAATTCCCTGTGGGTCCTCAGCTCTTTTTTCAGACTTCTGCCCTATTCGTCCAATCTGCTGAAATGCTTAGAGACCCAGTTGCCAAGCCCAGTGGTCTGTTTTCAGTAATTCTTCTCAAGCTCTGCAGTTTTTGTACCGATGACCTACCTCAAAATATTTTCCTTGGCTTCTGGAATGTGCTTTTCTCCCTTTGTACTCTTTCTTAGTTTTCTGATCATTTCTTCCTCTTGCCACTTGGTGTTGGTGCCCCCATGGCATCAGTATAGTCCCGAATACCTACTGGTGCAGCTTCCTATTTGACCCATGCCCACGTTTCCAGTTGCTGACTGGTCATCACCACCTAGGTATCTACACATTCTTCAAAATTAACATGTCAGAGTGTACTGTCCCTCTACCCTCTGCTCTTTATACGTTACACTCTTTCTAGTCACTGGGCTAGAATATCCTGGGTCTGATGCTACTCCTTCATGTTTCACTCAGCTGTGTTGGTTCTACTTTGAAGTGCCCTTGGATTTGTTTTTTGTTTGTTTTTAATTTTATTTATTTTGTTGTTGTTGAGAATATACACAGCAAAACACATACCAATTCAGCAGTTCCTTGGATTTGTTTTTTTTGTTTGTTTTCAACACCACTGCTATATAGTTCAGAGCTCTTATCTCTGGGTATTTGTAATTGTCTCAGAATTGGTCTTTCTGCTTCTAGTTTCTCCTTCACAGTCTTCAGTGTTAATTTTCTCAAGCAGAAATGTCTATAGTATTTCCCTCATCAGAAACCTTTACAGAACCTCATTTCTGATAGAAAAAAGCCCACACTCTCCTTAGTGAGACTTTTTAAGGTGCCTGTAAGATCTGTCCAGTTTTGGCTGACATTTATCTGCATTATAGTTGTAAAGTACACATCTAGGTACTGCTGTTTTCAGTTACTGGCACATGATTAATTTGATTAATTTCCAAGTCAGAACATGGAATGTTGTTTGAAATACTTCATTTAGATACTGACAGTTGCATTCAAATAGTGGTTGATTGACTATAAGGCTTCAAATGTTGCTTTTAAAAATTGATCGTTGGGTCAAATGTGACTTACAAGTCAACATTACATACTAGGAGGTTAGAACAACTGGGGTTTGTTTCTAGTTCTTCATTAATTTTTTTTGTTACATTGAACATTTTATTCATCTTTGCTCAAAAAAACAAAGGTTCTTACTTGCTTAACGCAGATAAGTTGTGAAGATCATAGAAATACTACTAAAGCAGTGATAGTTGAAAGAAAAGTGCTTTTTAAAAGTAGGAAAGTGATAAGATTGTTTAGCTTTTGAGTTAGTTTTTGTGTCTTAAAGTTCTACTGTATTTGCCACTTGGTTAATTTAGAGTGAAATGTTCATTTACATGCAGAAAATGTGGATTAGATATGGGCTTGATGTGTATTATATTTGTTGTTAGTTGCTGTTGAGTCAGTTCTGACTCATGGGAATCCCATGTATGTCAGAGAAGAACTGTGTTCCATAGGGGTTTTCAAGGCTGCAACCTTTTGGAAGCATATTGACAGGAGCGCCTAACCATTTGCGCCATCCAGGGACTCCATATTATATTTATAGGTCTTTAAATGAATGAGATAATTAAATGACCCAGTTACCTTAATACTGAATAAAGGCTCTTAGTGTCTTTTTTCCCAGACTTCTTACATGCATCTTTTAATAATAACTTTGTTGAGATAATTTGCATACCAAAACTGTCATCCTTTTAAAGTGTACAGTTCAGTGGTTTTTTAGTATATTCACAGAGTTGTGCATCTGTTACCACTATGAAATCACCAAACGTTTTTATCATTTCAGAAAGAATCCTATACCCATTAGCAGTCACTCCCTATCCTCCCCTCCCTCAGCCCTGGCAACCACTGATCTACTTTCTGTGTCTATGGATTTGCCTATTCTGGACATTTCCTATAAATAGAATTGTACAGTATATGACCATTTGTGTCTTTGACTTCTTTCACTTAGCATAATGTTTTCAAGGTTCACAATGTTGTATCATGTATCAGCAGTACTTCATTTTTTTATGACTGAATAATATTTCATTGTGTAGATATATCACATTTTGTTTCTCCATTCATCAGTTGATGGACGTTTTGGTTGTTTTCATTTTTGGACTATTATGACTAATACTGCTATAAACATTTGTATACAAGTTTTTATGTGGACTTATGTTTTCAGTTCTCTTGTGTATATACCTAGAAGTAGAATTGCTAGGTCATATGGGAACTCCATGTTTAACTTTTTGAGGAACTGCCAACCTATTTTCCAAAGCAGCTGCACCTTTTCTCACAATTCCACCAGCAATGCATGAGGTTCCAATTTCTCCACATTCTCACCAACATTTGTTATTATCCATATTTTTGTTCTAGTCACCCTAGTGGGTATAAAGTAGTATCTCATTGTGGTTTTGATTTGCGTTTCCCTAATGACTAATGATCAAAACCAAACCAAACCCATTGCAGTTGAGTCGATTCTGACTCACAGTGACCATATAGGATACAGTAGAGCTGCCCCATAGGGTTTCCAGGGAGTGGCTGGTGGATTTGAACTGCTGACCTTTTGGTTAGCAGCTGAGCTCTTAACCACTGCACCACAGAGCTCCATGTGCTTATTGGCCATTTGTACATCTTCTTTGAAGAAATGTCTGTTCAAATCCTTTGCCTATTTTTAAGTTGGACTGTTTTTATATTGTTCAGTTATAAAATTTCTTCATATATTCTGGGTACAAGTTCTTTATCAGGTGTATTACAAGTATTTTCTCCTGTTCTGTGAATTATCTTCATCTTACATGCATTTTTGTTTCTTAATCAAATTACTGGACATTGATTTTGGGCATCATTAATTTATTTGCTTGCTTAGTATTTAAGTTCTATTAAGTTTATGATTCTTGCTATAGAGGAAAAGCTGACATGCATACTAAAGCTGTTAATGGAAGCATAAACAGTTATAGATAAATTTCATGTAAACAGCACATTTCCTTAAAGAAGATGAAAAGATTAAAAATTGATTTTAGATATTTTGCCTTCAAGATCTTGTTTAACTGCTTTTTCATCCCAGAATAACATGTATAGCCTGTTGAGAAATTGTTTTTCTGGTTTAGTACAATCCCAAGTCAAGCCATCCTCTTTGTTATAACAGGAAACATTTTATTTATTCTTAATTTAAAACTTGAAGATTTTGCAAGTGGAATTTTTAATGTCAATATGTTACCCAGTATTGATCATATGATTTAGAAATATGAGAAGAACAAAAACCTTTTACTAAATTCTACTTTTATTAGGGATTGGTATGCTCTGGGAATGGAATTTGCCCAACCCAGCCACTCTGACCATCTACTATGCATTTTGAAAGTGACTTGGGAATTGGTGAGATGATTTACCGAGGTCATGGCTCTAAGCAACCTCTATAAGAAGAAAATAATCCAGCAATTCAGAAAGCACTTCTTTCTAAGTTTTAGGGTATCAGGGACTGTTAGAGTCAGATCATCCCTTACCTTCACATAATAGTAATGAATGGCTTATATTTTATAAAGTTTGTCTGAAATTAGTAGTGATTATAGCTCAGATTTGCTAGTTTTCTTATTGGCTGGTATTTATACCTTAAAATTTTAAGTATATGCCATTCTAGAACCAAAAGTTAAATAGTGTTTTATATTTGACATGATAAAATTTCTCATTTTAGGCCTCAGGAGTGCAAGTTGCTGATGAAGTATGTCGCATCTTTTATGACATGAAAGTTCGGAAGTGCTCCACACCAGAAGAAATCAAGAAAAGAAAGAAGGCTGTCATTTTTTGTCTCAGTGCGGACAAAAAGTGCATCATTGTAGAAGAAGGCAAAGAGATCTTGGTTGGAGATATTGGTGTAACCATAACCGATCCTTTCAAGCATTTTGTGGGAATGCTTCCTGAAAAAGATTGTCGCTATGCTTTGTATGATGCGAGCTTTGAAACCAAGGAGTCCAGAAAAGAGGAGTTGATGTTTTTTTTGTGGTAAGCATAGTTAGAAATATTGATCGTCTGTAAATCTCAGAGTTAATCTCTTGTCAGCACTTGAAGAACCAGTTCCTGAAACCAAAGTAATTTACATTTAAGCTATTACAGTCGTTGTCATTTAATTTTTGTGTATAGGTTTTATAAGGTCTTAGCTGATACTGGTGTTTTTGGGACCGGAACTGCCTTCTCACCACTGTTTGTCTGAGAGATGACGACTCAATAACTGATTTTTTGGGCAGGGAAGGGAGGGAGGCAAGTTTGTCTGCAGCCTCTGAATTTATTGCTTATAAGCTAAAATTTCTCTGTCTATAAATTCTTCCTAGAACACTGAGGAGGAAGTTTACCTCACTAAAACCCAACCTCTCCAACATGCTGTGCCAGAAACCAACCTCCCGCTTTGTCAAACACCCATCCTCTGCTTGTGTCTCCAGTTGTGATTTACTCTGTGTCCACACTGTCTGGGAGGGTAGTCACTAGTCACATGTGGCTATTTAAGTTTAAATTCATTAAAATTAAATTAAAAATTTGGTTTCTCAGTTACCACATTTCAAGTGCTCAGTAGCAACATGTGACTTGTGTTTTACCTTATTGAAAAGCACAGATACAGAAATTTTCATCACTGCAGAAAGTTCTGTTGGACAACATAGTGGAAAAAGCACTATAAAGTGATTTACATGACTTTTTCTCGAAAGGCTGTTGAAATTAGTTATTCTGCTCTTTTCAAATAAGTTAATATTTGAGATTAAGCTTGAGTTAAAAGTCACACCCATATTCTTCATTGAATTGCATTATATGCTACATTCCTTGGTACAAAGTAGCCACATACTAAAGATATTCTCTAGCTTGGAGGGAGTGAGTGTTCTTTTGATACCAAGGCTGAGCCAGGGCAAGCCAGGAAAGGATTTAGCTCTTAGTTACATGGCACCAACAGCTGGTGTGTGTATAGGATGTGAGACTAAGGAGGTCAAAGGAAGTAAGGTTTAAAGGAAGCTAGCTCTAGGCCACACCTCACTTCCGCTTCAGCAAGACTTGACTGCACTGATTAAACTAAGATGCTGTGAGGGATGCAGACACGTGGTCATTGAGGGTGGAAGCCACAGCTGTGCGTACATAACAATAGTGGTAGAGGAGACTTAAAATTAGTACGTTCCTGGTTTGAAGGAAGGTGCATTCAGTAAACTTTATTTCTGCCACACACCAGGTATTGTGTTAAGGCCTGGGAAAACCCGCTGGGAGTGAAAGCCCCTCTTTTTGGGATTTAAGCTGAGTGGTAGTATGGCAGCTAAAGGGTTAGGCTTTTAAGCTGACGAATGTTTCCTTCATTTACGCTTTTTTTCCCATGGGTTTTACTTTTTTTTTTCATTATGAAAATTATACGTTCTTATTAAAGAACATTTAGAAAACAAAAGTAGAGAGAAGAAATGGAAATTGTGATGGTTTATTTTACACTATTTTTTTAAAGAAAAGGTAAAACCCCTTTATATGAGTTTTCCATAATAAGCTCTACCCAGGGCCCACGGAATGGCTCTTATTTAAATTATTTTAAAAATCTAGTTAGAGGGAAATCGGAACAGCTAATGCTGTTTCACATCCCTGACCTATTTGGATAAGAAAAGCACCCACTGAACTTTGCTGCTGAAAGCATCTGCCAGACCAGAGGTTATTTATTATGGTTTTGCCTCCCTTGTTGGACCTAAGAGTTGGGAGGGACAAGCTTCTGAGAGACAGAGAGACTGCCCTTTTCTGAGCTCCCAAGAATAGAAAATCTCTCGCTTTTGGGTAGAGGGTAGACTAGGTGAGGTCCACATACTAGCGCATGGTATTAATGGCTGATGATGCCCTGGAAATATGGCAGTTAAATGGAATCATTAAATGTTTAAAAGTATTTAGCTATACTCTATTTCTCTTTGAGGTTTGGTGGTATATTGAACAAGAAGACATTCAGAGATGAGCAGTTCTGAGTAGGATGAAGTTTTTCTATCCATTGTCAAAACTTTTTTTTTTTTTTTTAACTATTGCTGGTAAAGAGAGTGGTAAAGCATAAACTGCTTCCAGTATTCATTCAAGAGGGGAGAGGCACTGAAGAGTCTGTGGATGCAGGGTAGTAATAATATTGACAATTAGGACATAATTATTGCCGAGCTGCCATTTAGCTTAAAAAAAATCTTTGTGGAAGCTGTATTTAGAATTATGAGATTACAGGTGTGGATTTAATATTTTTTTTCAAGAGCATAGTGAAACTCGTTTTGACTGCCATTTTGATAACTGAGCGTGTATGATTATGTTAGATAGAAAACAGCTGCTCCCGTGGTCCAGTTTTGCTCTTGGAATAGATACAAATGAAGGGACTGGGGAAGGGTAAAAGAGGACTTTTATTTTGTGATATGTTCTTGTTTAGAAAGCTATCTGAAACAGAAATGCCAGAATGCTAGCATTTGTTAATTCTGAGTGGCGGTTGCATGACTTTTAGATTATTTTCTATACTTTTCTGTATTTTGAAACGTTTTTCCAACTAGAAAAATATATCCAAAAAAACCTTAGATAAGTATAGTTATTAGCCCGAACCCAAGCCCTTATTAATAAAAATGAAAAGAGGATTTTTATTTTAAAGAAAAGGAATTGGGTAATGTCTTAGTTATCTAGTGCTGCTCCAACAGAAATACCACAAGTGGATGGCTTTACAAAGAGAAATTTATTCTCTCACAGTCCAGTAGGCTACAAGTCCAAATTCAGGGCATCAGCTTCATCGGCTCTGGAGGAAAGTCCATGTCATCAGTCTTTCTTTGGTCTGGGAGCTTCTCTGCGCAGGAACCTCAGGTCCAAAGGACGTGCTCTGCTCCTGGCACTGCTTTCTTGGTGGTATGAGGTTCCCATGTATCTCTGCTCGCTTCTCTCTTTTATATCTCAAAAGAGATTGCATTAAGACACTAATCTTGTCAACCTCATCAGTATAACCTCATCACAG